TAGCTTCAAATAAAATTCAGCCTAAAATAATGGGACTCAACGACTTTCTCTTGGTCCAGGAGGTCTTCCTTGTTTTTCCACTAACTCCAAACGACGACAAAAACGAATTCGGGAGCAGCAAGGAGGACAAAAAAAAAACGGATTCGAGGGGCTGCTGTGCCGGTGGAAGTAAAAGTCGAGAACTTGCTTGCGTTAACTGAGTAAGAGACGGCTTCAAAAACTCAGTGGCTTAATAAGCACAAGCCCTTAAAAGTCAGGATAAGAAGTCTAATGGACCAATTGCAAGCGATTAAAATTAGGACTAATCGCAAAGCAGAAACAGAAATCAGAAATCAAATGGACACAATTGTAGTCTGCTTAGCAAAGGCTTTATTACAGATGTAACTCGTATAATTCTCGTTCCAAAACTCAACGAATTCCAGAGGAAAGGCTTGCTTACGCAGACCTAGATTGCTGGATTATAGTTGGGTTCTTCAATTCAGGTTCACAAACTTGCACCTTTCGAATTCTCCCATAGGCTCACAAGTTTCTGGTGTCAATCATAAACTAAAAAGGGAACTGGCCTAATCAGTTTGGTCTGCGTAAGCATATTAGATCGCGGAAAAAACTTTTAGTCATAATAACAAAACCACAAATTGCAGGGGAACAGGGAATAAAAATTGCATCCTTTACCGCATCACACGTAAGTTCCGTTGACAAAGTACCTACTTCCTTTGTCTGCGACAAATTCATTCTTGAGATATTTGATTAATTGCTCCTTAACTCTAGGTAATAAAGAGTTTAAAAGAACCGCCGCCAAAACACGGAATAAAACCATCTTATAGAAATCGCACCCCTTCAAGTGCTATACAATTTTATTTGTGAGTTGTTAAATTAAGTTCCGCATTTCTGCGAAACGAGGAGTTTAAAAGCGTTGCCTCCTCAGCAACTAAATCACTTACCCTGGATACAACTTAAGGTAAGCAAGTTAAAAACTCAACAAAAAATCTGAAACTTTTACTTGGAGGGAAGGTAGAGGTTTGCTCTTTTTTGCTCTGGCTCCCTAGCTTGTGTTTTCATGAAATAGGCTATTGTGTCATTTCTCTGTTTATTATTCGTTTCTTGCTTTGTTCTGTTTCTTTTTTTGTTGACAACAGACTCTATCCTAGAGTATATATACTTTTATTAATTTTTCGTACCATGCATGTATACAGTTACATAGGTGATCTAAAGACACTCACTAGATGGTTTACTGATAAACTACGGTTAACTCCACATTCACTTAAGCCTCGACGCCTTAGCTGATTGAGCTTTTATTAGATTTCTACATGAGTTCTGATTTAACCTAAGCCTCAAAACAACAGATTGAAGCAAGTCGTATGTTGATTCCAGGACGTCTCGTCCAAGGGGGCTATAAAATTAAGTTGACAAGTTTCTAGGACAGATGTCAGCCCATCTTATCAAGAAATAGCAAAAAAGGGACTTGGGGGTTAAAACTGTAATATTTTTTTAGGGTCCGTATGCCTCTTTTTGAGTAAATGTAACAATTTTACTTCAAACTTAGGAACATTACTTCATCGTTATTCACTTCCTTGTCTTCGTTTCGTGGATCAGTACCAGTCATTTAAAGATGGTATCACAATTTGTGCCACTTCTGTGCTGTTCCTTTGCTCTCTTGATGGTAAGTTATTTCCTGCTTGTATTAAGTTTGATTTCAATGTCCTGTTCAGCACAGAGTCCAAGCTTTCACTGCAGACCATTCCAGAGAATTTAAATAAACCCAGATTAAACCTACCGAGCTGCTCAACTAAGTAGTACTGAAAACTAAATATGCTTACAAACAAGAGAACCAAACGTAACCAAGGATATTAGATTGCTTCCCAGTTTTGTCACTGTTGTATCCGATTGTTTACGGTATAGTGAAATTTTTTCACTTATGATGGTCTCGAAGCCACTTTTATGTGGCTTTTGTGCAACTGTTTGACGTCCTCAGCTTATATCTTCTGGGAAAATGATAAATTGCTTTTTTCGGATCCTATTTAGCTTCATGGTGTACCTGAATTTTAATTCAACAGTTGTCAGCTGTCTCATTGGCCTGATTAAGTAACACGAGAATTCTCTGGCTTTAATTCTAGGGAGCAGTACTTGCTTCATCTCCAGAGGCGAAATCTCGTAACAAGCGTGCAGTGTCGATTCCATCCAAGCATACGGTGGACGATCTTGTTCTTGAACTGGCTAAAAAACATGTGAGTTAAAACTTTTAAGAAACTATGTAACAGTTTCTGCATAATAAGTTGAAGATTTAACATGCATTTTTTAATTATCCGTGCTACGGTTACAAAAAATCAAGAGATAAATTGCAAAAACAGTGGAAGATGATCCTGCTGGTCGTCAACTTTGGATATTAGGAAAGATCTAATCAGTTAAAGCTGTTTGAAAAAAAAAAAGGAGAAGTCCAAAAACTACTGCGAAGCTGGAACATCGAGTATTTTTCAACTTTTTCAAACAATACTGATTTCGGCTGGCCAGACCAGCTTTCTTCAGGTTTTCATCACGGTGTTACTAGTTTTAAGTAAAAGTCCGTACCATTCTGCAAACATTTACGTCCTTTATAGTACATTATTCAGCCTCTAATGTTTTCCTATATTACAAATTGAACTCTAATTGTATTTGGAGCTTGTTCAGTTGGAAATAGAATTTAAAAAAATAATGACTCAAATTTTTTTTTTTTTTTTACTAAAAATATCTACCGTGGCAGCGCCCCTTTAAACTTATGTAGGGCTATTTCTTAGTTCTAAGAAGTAGCTAAAAGTTATTACAAATTAGGGGTGCGTGTGACAGGGAAGGCTTCAAAGCGAAATACAAAATAGATACCAATTCCCGGCAGAGAGAAAGTCCTCGCAGCAAAAAGTGGCTTAGACACTGAGAAGGTTCGATAAGGGCCGCCGAATTAGGACACAGCAATTCTTTTCTTCTAGTAGCTACATTTTTCTGTTTTTTGACAATTTAATAGGAAATCAGTAAAACGTTTATTTAAAAATAAACAGCATTGTATAGTACGTATTGGCTATACTGAGACCTCTTTAGCTAGAGTTACTTGATGCCCTTTGAAACCTGCTTAAGATGCTAGCTCGAGGGACCCAAAATGATGTGTTAATCCGGAAGGGACTCCGCATATGAAAGGGGTGGGGATGCTCGTCGGAAATTTTGAATTAAACCCCTAAAGGAGACCGATCTGGGCGTGGCCCAAAGCTTTTTTGACCCCTAAAAGAGATCATGTTAAAACACAGACAAATGAGAAAACTTGGATTATATGAATGGAGTAAATAACACGAATTATAAATATACATATAAAATATATATTTTTATATTTTTTCGCGTGCAACCCTAAACGAGACCTTCACGGCTAAATATGATGGCGTTTTGCCCAGAATACCCTAAGTGAGACCAGAATGCGAAATTTACACCCCTAAGCGAGACGACGAGCATCCCCATCCCTTTCATTTGCGGAATTCCCCCCTCTGCCGGGGTGTTAATACATTATTAAAAGCCTCACTAGATTTTTAATTCACAGATTTAAATAACTGATATTTGATTTTTAATTTTTTTATTTTTCTTTATAGCTGATTAAGATGATCGTTGAACAACAAACAGACTTGGCAAAGATTCAGCACAGTCTCGCAACATTGCAACGAGGTGAAGAAGTGTATTGGGTTGTGTTTAATTTACTTTGTTGCTTTTAGACTTAATGCAGTCAGAAGTATTATATTAATAGTATTATATTGTGAAAGGTTTGAACCCAGGAGTCATTTAGAAAGCTGGTTTACTAACTTAGAACAAACGCCACTGAATCGTAGCCAACAGTTACCAGCGCTGTACAAACGACTTATTGACGAGATCAAGCAAAACTAACTACGAGAGAACAACTGACTAACAATAGACGACTGTTTAACTGTGACAACAGACGGATCGAAACGCACCTATCACTGATTACGAGTCTTCATAGCCAATAACTTCACGGCTTAACTGACAGACGACCAATAACATCGCGACATAATTGACCAATCAGATCAACAACCAGAGTATAATACCATCAACTGACGTGATACAACTCACTCTGATTCTGAGATGACTACCGCACAGGTTGTCGAAACGTCAGTCACTGTCAACAACAACAGTCCTATTCAGGACTATGTTCACCCGGACGATCAAACTCAACCTTTTAGTATTATATTATTACCACACATAAGCACACTGTCTAATAATTTTGCTTTTACCGTATCCCGGGCTCTCCACTTTTGTTTGTTCAGGTCTGAGTAATAAAACTTAGGCAGAATTTCAAATATTGTTTGTTTGTATAAAATTTTAAATAGTCAATTACGTGCAAAGGTTGAATAAAGTCCGTCAGAAAACTTTGTTAATATTTTTGCTAGCTTTTTGGGGGGACTTGACCATTCGCAACGTTTAATTGCACTCGTATTATTTTGAACAAACTAACAAACAGAAGCGTAAATGTATTCAATCTCAATTTTTGAGCCAAAAGTAAAGACTATGCCTCGGGTCAGGGGGCTCCCAAAATAATCTACAACTCCCTTGTATTAATCTTTGATTTTTACCAGCATTCAAAACCAATCGCCTCAGTCTACTAACTATTGTAAACAAAGAAACGAAAGAAATGGTAAAATGAATTTCAAATAAAAAGGCACTGTCTGTGGTGGGTGGGGGGAAGGAATTTCTCTAATCCTTGCATCTTGGCGTGATTGGGGAGAGTTTGGGAAGGATGGAGGAGTGTTCCTAGAATCTTTTAGTAGGCTACAATCAAACCCCGTCCAGACAGGAGCCCATGGGATAGTAATAAATGAACAGGGATTATAGTTGCCTATAATCTGATCAATTCTGATTGCGTGTACTTAACAAACGAAGAGACTTGCAAGCAACAGTTAGCTTTGCGTGACTATATATGATAACATTGTTATACAGCATTGCAAAAGCTATTCATAACTAATCAAGCCTTTTGATAACTTCCTGTCCTGTGGTTTGTTGCAGACAGTTGTACAAACATCAAGTCGGTTGGTCCGCCTGTGACTCACAACACACGACAATTTCAGCAAGGAGCCTGGATGAAAGACCCACTAGGCTTCATGGGAGATAAGATATTTGTTATGGAGCATTATTCTGGAAAAAAAGTTCTTGAAGAATATGAAAACATTTTCAAGTTTAAGGCAGGCATAGTTCAAAAGAAGCATACGTTGCCTTATAATTATGACGGAACAGGAGCAGTGGTGTATGGGCCATACCTTTACTACAACAGGTGAGGTTTACATATGAATGATTCTCCCACGTCATGATCACGCAGCGGGTTTGGTTTCGCCACGCAATGCGTCTCCCCAAGAGAAAGGAGCGTTCGATACGAAGCAAAAGGAGCTGATGAGTGGGAGATCAACAAAAGATCTGTTACTGCAAATTTCCCTCTGCACCAGAAAAATGTTCTTTTCCTGGTTGCCACAATTTTGAGATCAAGTAAAAAATAAAAAGCCTCTCTCAGGTCATCTGACCCAATTAAACTGAGAAAGAAAACTGACCATCGGATCTTCCCTATATTGGCACTTGTTTGCCTTCAGAATGATAAGTTAGCCACAAAATCAAGCAGTTTTTAATGTGAGGGAGAAGATTTGTTTATTTTAGACGCCCTTTTAGTCTATGAAGATGTAAGATCGGCTTTAACAGTTCAAGAAAACAATCTCGTGATATTTGAATGCCTGTTCCTTTGCTTTGTAAATCAACAGAGAAAATTCACCCTACATCATCAAGTACAATATACTGAAAAGTACGCAAGAGGCCCAGATAAACTTAGGTTCAGCTGGCTTTCAACAGAGGAAGAATCATTACCAATGGGGTGGTAACACTGGAATGGACTTGGCTGTCGATGAACAAGGATTGTGGGCTTTGTGGGCCGATACTGACAATTCCTACCGACTTTACGCTTCTAAAATTGATGTCCACAGCAATCTCATTATCGACACGCGCGCCTTGACTACAGGTAAGAGCATGTGCCTGATTCATTTACAGTGCAACCTGTCCAACTTTTCAACGGAAACAAAATCTGGTGCCGAAGAATGTTCACATATTCTTATTATTTGTTACTTCTATTTAAGGAACACTTCTATTCACGGGAAAGGGACACTTCTTCGGGGTCCCGAAGGGGACACCTTAGGGACGGACCATTAGAAAAGTTATGGGGGGGGGTGGGGAATTTTAGAGCCGCAGGAATTTTTTTGTTATCAAATTCCTTGTATGAATTTTTTTAGGCCATAGCATGGATATTTTTTAGGATTAATTGGCGTGCATGAATTTTTTTAATGTAATTTTCCCTTGCGCGAATATTTTTTTTGTACTTCGCCCCCCCCCCCCCCAAAGTGTACAATTTCTGTTATGATTTTAATCAATGCACTGCAGTGTTGGAATTAAACACACCACAACGCAGAGATAAGTTAATCATAATTTTTTTATATTAATATTATCTAGCTGCATGAAGTAATGACTGCAGAAGATTCGGAGGCAGAATAAAAGGATTTATTTGTTGGCTAATTATTAACAACCCCGAGTCCAACCTCCCTTTCGTCCTTCGGGGAACACTTGTCTTGGTCTCGAGAGTGTCCCCTGAATAGAAGTTCCACTGTATGCAACTAAGAGATCCGGCAGCACACGGGCTTCCTACTTCCCTAGCTCCTATTTACTAATTTTCGTGGAATTTAAAAACAGAGAATAGTGAAAAACAGCTCTCACCAAAATTTAAAGGCGCTGTGTCATTGCTCTCAAGTTCATTTTATTAATAACGCCGATTACACGTCCTTTTTTGCTACGAAAATTGCGAAATTACCTGTAGATTACAAAATCACTGCTTCGTTGTCTAATAAACATGTCTCCCAAGTATTATTTCAGAACGTTACCGAAAAACAAAACAAACTGTGAAAAATTTTAGGCTAACAAGTTTTTGTCTATTCTTGCCTCCTTTTGTGCTTACCGTGTTATTTATATCTTCTTTTCAGCTTGTTAACAGTCATTTTTATGTTTCAATCAATTTGATGGCAGTTTCCACTGTTTGAATTTTGAAAAATTTCGTGACGCAGCTCCTGTTTAAAAACACAAAAATCAATTCTTTACTGCTTTTTGGACAGAGAACAGCATTTCCTTTCTTCCTTCTCAGTTCTATTTCTAGTTTTCAATTTCTGTTTTACTTTGTTAAATATAGAAAGAATGAGCCACATGGGGAATGCTTTTGTCGCCTGCGGCGTGGTCTACTGTATAGACGCCTATAATTCCCGGTCCACAACCATCAACTTTGCTTACGACTTCAAAACTGGGCGTACATGGAACCCCAACATTCAGTTCACCAATCAGTACGGCTATAACTCCATGGTGGACTACAACCCCAGTGAAAGAGTGCTGTACGCCTGGGACAACAAGCGTTTGGTCACTTATCCGATCACGTTTGAACCACAAAAGTAAAAAGGAAACTGCACCAGCCCAAAACTGCACTGAAGTTAAACGCTTTTCTTTCTACGGAAAACAGAGTCCAATTAAAAAGTGGACGTACAAGGATCGCCTATTTCCCTTTCGTAAACGGTCGATGCCATTATTGGTAACCTGGCCTTTAGTCAGTGTGATGTAATATATTCTCTGGATTAAGTTACAATTAGGCAAATAATACGTTTTTGAATAGTCTAAGAAAGAAAGACATTGACACAAATTGATCTATTTTTGATATATCAGTTAAGAAAAACAGTTTGCTAGTTTATGTGCTCAATTTTTTCGGAATCTTTAGCGGGTCGGTGTTGTAGTGTAGTGGCAAGGGAGCGAGATTAGGATACGAAAGGTCCGGGTTCGACCCTGGGTTTAATGGAAACTCTCCAATAAGAGGTCAAAAATTTTCAAAGTGTGTCATGTAAAATTGGCAGCGAGCGTTTACGAAACGGACAACTGCAGTGGCCTCACCCACGAGTTTTTCTCAGTTTTTTTTTAACCAGTTTAATACAAAACGTCTTTTCCTTATAAAGTTCTTTAAAATCTGTTTATTTATTCCTTTGAACGCCTTTTGGCAATGTTTAGTGATAATCATTTGCTCTGGTTACGAGATATGACGTCATATAGCGCTTGGGATTGCAATTTTTTGGCAAAATGTTTCCTTGAAAACGTTTTTGACCTCGAACGTAAGAGGCACTTAGTTTCAGAACTATTTCGATACATCTGAATTCCCAGGGTGAAACAAAGTAAACGGTCAAGGTGAACGCCATTTTGAGAGAGAGACCTCAAGGCGGTCCCCTATGAGCGCCATTGCCTGCTTAGCTGCGGTTTTGTTTGTCGAGCGCGCAAATTAGCGGGTGGCGAGCCACGAGGAGAATGAGAAACGCTTCCACTGTAAGTTCGGACACGGTATGCGTGCGTTTTCACAGCTTTTTTTCTCTTCTCGCCAAACAAACCGCTAGCTACGTAGGCCTAAGCGCCATAAAATTTATATCACCTTGTAGAGCAAGTCACCAGCATTCTGTTATCCTACTGCAGTAAAAAAAGAACTTATATTTAGCCATATCGGTGGTTTGAATTTGTCTCTACGTCCGAGGTTTAAACGAAAAAACTTTAGATACAATTTGCACTCAGAAGCAACTATCTCATGCCACCATGAAATGGATGTGCCAATAACACCTGAGCGTTTTAATGTCAATGTCAGTCTTCAGTCTTCCTCCAAAAGTCTACAGGCTTTGTTGTATGTGTACAACAAAGGAAAAGATAGGAGATGCTGCAACCAGCCCGGCTAACTGATTACCACACAGCTGCTTTGGCAGGTTTAAAAAACTACCTAGGAAAAGCATAAGGTTTTTCAGATATAAGTAAAGTCAGTGGGGTTCGGCCTTGAGTCACCACTTTGTAAGATCTGTTGTTTAGATTATCGCTATTGTAAACAGAGTAAAAAAAAAGGAATAACTTAATTTGAATGCTCTGTAGTCAGGTCAAAATAAAAGGTGCAGATGAAAACACTCATATATGGAGGATAATACTCAATCAGACTTTTTTTTATTTCTTATTAGAGATTTGTCTTCCACTGAAACCGAAATATCAGGCAATTTCGTTGAAATGTTTCTTTTTTTTATTATTCGTTGTTTTACCATTTTGTTTACTCGTTGCCCTTTTACTCGGGTTTGCCCTTTTATATTTGTGCATATAAGCTATCTGTACTCGCCCAAAAACAGTGGAACCTTTTCTTAGAGACATCGCTATTCAAGGGACTGACTTCCATTCAGGGGTCACAAAAATTGGTCCCGGAAAAACGTCCACATAATCATTGCATCTGTTAGCTCTATTGAAGAGACACCTCTTTTCAGGGGAAAGGGACACGTTTTCTGGGTCCCGAAACCTTGGTTTGACCTCTATTTAGGGGACACCTTAGCACTTAAAAAACGTGTCTAACCACAAAGAGGATTCATATCTTTAAGTGTACATGCTAATTACAATGATGGTAGCTGTCTCACTTGTGTGAATTCGACATATGATGTAAGTGAATGACTATTTTGTTTTATATTGTCTCTATTGGCAAATTATTATCAAACCCCAGCCCAACCTTTATTCAGGGGACACTTGCCTCAGTCCCGCGGGTGTCCCCTGAAGAGAGGTTCCACTGTATACAAGAGATCCGGTACCTATGGCGTACTGATCCCCGCCAAAATTCATGGCTTGAATTTTAAATTGCTCATTTAAATGTTCTACTTCAACACTTTTACAGCTGAATTCAATATTTTACACTCTTCCTTTAGAATTCACATCATTGGAAAACGTTTTTACACTTGTCTTTTAGCTTTTTATTTGATCGTACATTTTCAACTTGACAAACAAATTGTTATACACTGCTACTTTTTATTAGTTTTGATACCTGAACCAGCACTCTACTTTGGACAGAGAAGCCAATTTTGCATTCGATACTCACTCGCCGCATTTCGCCAGTCATCGCGTGAAA